CCAAACATGCCTAGCTTGATCCCATACTCTTTTTGGAAACTAATGTGGATGGTCCCCTGAACCATTAGCCCCGGGCTAGGGTTTGGCTACGATCAACACATAGATGATCCAAAATGAGATTTCCCTTCGTCTCATGGCTCAAATAGGGTGACCTAATGATTAACATTCTCAATCAATCCCAATGTTTTCAAATTCCAATTTTGACCCTTATTGGTCTCAAACTTCACCAAATTACTAAACTGCCCCTAAACCTAGATTTTCCAGAAATTCCCAAAATTACCCATATTCTCAAAATCTCTTAAAAAATCATTTCAAACCATTCTAAATCACTCAAATTGGCCAAAATACTTCAAATTTTCCAAAATAATCCCAAAATCCCCAAAATTACCAAAATATGCTTCAAATCCCAAAAATTCCAAAATTTCTCAAAATCTCCAAAATCACTCCAAATGCCCCCAAAATCAAATTGAACCACTCCATTAAGCCCAATTTGACCAAATTGACCCACTTTAACCAAAATCCCCAAATTTCCCTTAAAGGCCCAAATTCCACAAATCATCCCTAATTTCCACCAAATTGATTTCAATCTCACCCAATTTCAATTCCAAACTTAAATTCATCATCCCCAATCCCAATTGAAACCAAATCCATGACCAATTAAACCCAATTTCAAGCCCAATTGCAAACTCAATCCTAAATCCCCAATTTTACCATGACAATAAATTCCCCCAAATTGAACCTCATGATCAAATCAATTTACCCAAGTTTGAATTCTAAATTCTTCATAACACTTCCCCAAATCCGTTTGAACAATTAATTGATCGAAATTTGAACTCAGAGCTCACCCAATTCCAACTTAAACCAAAACCCCCAATTTTGACCAAAAGTCCAAATCTCCCAAATTGAACCTCATAACTCCAAAATTTATAGCCAATTGATATCCAAAACTCTTCATTACAAACCATTGGACCAATTTGAACCATCAATTGAGCCTAACCTAAACTCTAGCCCAATCCAAACCCAAGTCTAACCCAAATGCCCAAAATTAACCATATGGCCAAATTCCACCAAATTGACCTTCAAAATCAATTCAAAATCATCCAATTGGTATCCAAAACTCCTCATGACAATTATTCAAGCCAATTTGATCAGTCAATTGAGCCAAATTCAAATTCTAGCCAAACCAAAACTCAATTCCAAGCACATGACATGATTTTGAACCCAAGCCATACACTTGACCAAACCAACCCAAATTGACCAAGTCATGGTCACCACAACCAACATTTAGACCCTAGGGACCAGGCTAGACCCACCTAGCCCAACCTACATGAGCCATGGACCAAGGGTCCCTTGTTTTAGGGGATCTCTTCCCATATTTGGCAAAACCTGAATATATTTTCCATAAAGCATTAAACCTTTGGGGATAATCAACATTAAACCAGCCACTGGCTCACCTGACCACCAGCTCTGGCTTGGTCGGCCTAGTGGCCGGAAAAAAACAAAATTGAGAGTCACGCATGGAAAAAAAACTCCAAATTTAAACTCCCTGAGTTGGCTCATCCCCATTGGTCATTGGTTCCACTCAACCTTCCAACTAAGCAATTGATTCCACCCCCTGGCCAGCCCTGATGGCCACCATAGACTTGTCTATTTAAACTCTACCTCCCACGACCAAAGGAGGAGACCATCCAAATCGTTGTGGAGATTTTTCCAAAATCCTTCCAGAGCCTCTTCAAGCTTTTCTAAGTCCAATCTCACACTCATCAGCCCTCCATTTCCACTGTCAAAGCCCAATCTCTCACTTGAAATCTAGGGAAATTTTCTACCCCTTTACAAATCTCCACAAAGCTTCAAATTAAACCTTCTAAAAGCTTCCTCAAACCAAACAAGGAGGCTCCCCATCAAAGCCTCTCTCTTTTGAGCCCTCTAACGCACTTCTAGACCAAGGTCGCACCACCTGTTGGTCGAACTCCTACCTAGAACTTGTACCAGAGCAAGGTGACACTTCGAGGAGGTTCATTGGACCTTATTGAAGCTTCCACAAGCATCTAATTGAGGCCTACCCTCTCAGACTTAGGTATAGTGCTTAAACCCTAATTTTTGGCTTGGTTTGGGCTTTTTTGAAGAAAAGTTTGATTTCATAAGCATGTAGCCATGTAGATGTGTTTATTAACGAGATGAAGGTGTAGGAACAAACTCGAAGTTATTTGGTTGAGTCAAGGCAGAGATCTTAGGGTTTGAAGGTGAACGGTTCTCGGGTTAGGCTGATATGGGATGATGAACGGATGTCATCCGTTTCCGCGTGTATTGGTTGGACGACCCAGATCGTTCCGGACGAAACGATGGAACTGTAAAGTGCGGACGTGTGGCAGCTGACTTAGGTGGCAGTGCCAGTAGCATGACGACACGTGGAAAGCTAAAAAAGTACGAGGTTGACGCGACAACTTACTCAGTTGAGTAGGAGATTAGGGATTTTTTATTTAAATTAATTCCATAACTTAGAAAATCCATAACTTGGTGTCGAAAAATCATAAAAATAAAATAAAAATGCATTTTTGCTCAGTGAGTAGAGGAAAACAATATAGAATAAAAATAAAAATTATTTGATGTGTCTCAAATTTGTAATTAAATAAATACTCTCTAGAGTCTTTTAATTTTAATTAGCTACATAATAATTACCATGGCTTGAGACTTTACAGGTTAGTTCTTCATGACAATAGAGAGGTTTTGTGATTTTTTCAAAGTCAGAAAACATCTCTACACATGTAACCCTAATTTCCAAGTTTAGATGACTATTTTGCTTAAAATAATTATATAAATTAAAATATAAATAAAAAAAATGTGGGAGTTATTTTGGTAGAATCCTTGTGGTCAGAGGACCTTAGGAAAAACATAAAATTAAGTTTGAATATTTATGTAAATGAATATAGTTAATTAAACCTAAAAAATCATAAAAATTAAAATAAATTTTATATATTTTAAAAATTAACAAAAATTGTTTCCACACTTAAATAACACTCATTATAACTCATTATAAAAATTTGAATTTTACTTTATTTAGTCTGAGCACTAAAGCGGATTTTCTAGGAAAAATGATATTTTTGGCATTAAAATAGTTTTAATAAATTAAATATAATTAGGAAAATTATGAAAAGTGATTTTCTGAGTTCCTTGTGATCAAGAACACTTAGAAAAAAATAAAATTATTTTAAAATAAAGAGTTCATTTTTTTGCTATATTTTAAATTGGAAAAATAATTTAAAATGATTAAAAATTTCAAAAATACTAAAAATGATGTAAAATGTTCATAATTACTTTTTGACTTTCTAATCACTTTCTGATCACTCAGGACTCATTAGAATATTTTTTCTAATTTTTCTAAGTTCAATATAAATTTTTAAAGGCTAAAAAATGTATTTTCTCTAATTTTCCATTAAAATAATTATACTAAATAAATTAAAACCACAAAAATAAAAATTTTGTTTCTCTAAGTTCTCTGTACTTATAGAAATTTAATAAAAATATAAAAAGTAATTTTTGTAATTAAAACATATTTTTTATTTAATTAAATCACTAAAACTAATAAATAATTATAATAATTAAAATATAATTTGAAAAATCATAAAATTTTGTCCAAGTGGTCCTCTAATTTAGTTAATCCTCCAATAATTTTCCCATGAACAAAAATTCTACTTTATTTGTTAAATAAATTAATATTTAAATCTTTTTTTTGAGTTAAAATAATTATTTACATTAAATTAAATTTTCAAAAAATAACATTTTCTCCTTTGATATTTTAATTGACCCATGAGTGGGGTATTCTAAGAACTTCAAAGTCATTTGAGTTATATTTGATAAATTATAGAGTGGAGAGCCCTAGAGGCAAAGTGATAATTTTAGATTTTGATGCCTTAATTAAAATTTAGGATTAACTAAAGGGTAAATGGGTAATTTTAATCCAAATGAGCTATTTTTGATGTTTGAAACATGATGGGTTTAAAA